TTTACATGCGGAGGATCTGATGGCAGCGAGCACAGCCAGGCGCAGGCAGCCAGCATCTCCAGGCTCAGCCTCACGTGCCTCCGCTCCCTGAGCAGAGACAGCTTAACTCTGTGAAGATTTGTGGTTGCAGCAGAACTATCTAGGAGATACAGCTAAACCCCAGTGCATTCAGTTCCCCAGCCAAATTATATTTTGATGCAGGTCGCCAGGAGCTAATCTTTCATCTCTATTTTTTATACATGAAAATGAAAAACCAAAAAGGAAAAAAAAAAAAAAAAAAAAAAAAAAGATTTCAGATTAAACAGCATTTATCATACTAAATAGAATTAAATCAGATGGAAAATTGCATAAAGACGCTCAGTTAAAACAATCGAATTAAAAAGCCCTTTACCTGTGCGAGTAAAGTCTTTGATTTTGTTAGAAGAGAAGCCTGTTATTAAGCAGGCTTGAAAGGGAGGTTCGGGCAGCCCTGTCCCATTCCCTTGCGCTGGAGCTGTCGGGCTGTCCCCTGGCACAGATGGTGCTACCTGTTTGTCAGGCAGGGTCACTGCTTCGCCCTCACCTGCGGGAAGAAGATGCGTTTTCAGTACTGCAGCGGCACAAGGGCTGCACGGTAATTATGCAGCAGGTTTATTCAGCCAGGCATTTTTCTCAGCGACGTGCATACGCACACATCCAGGTGCACACACACACCTGCACTCAGCACTGGAATGCTCTCTTGGCCAAGCAGGGCCAGAGGCTTTCAGCAAGCCATACTGACGTGCTGACTGTTAAAGAGCTCTCACCTTAGATGGCTTCTGGTGAGGGTTAAAATGAAGAAATAGCAAAGCCTTCTTGAAGGAACCTATTTCAAATTATCTCAGAAATAGTATTTTAGTAAAACTGAAGGAATTATAATCCATCTTTTCAAAAAAAACTCCAAGTTATTCTTTCCATCAATTAAAAATGCACTTATGAACTTGGCTTGTGGCAAAACTGAGAGCAAAAAACAGTGGCTGTGATGGAGAACAACTGTCTGGAAACAATTTTTCTGATATATAACATAGGTCTAAGAGGCTCAATAATATCTTTGGCCAGATTTTGCTGATGAACATTGTCCTGGATTCTTGGCTGGAACTCCCTTTGGCTTCAAAAGATCCTATGTCATTTCAGGGTGAGTTTGGTCAGAGCAAGAAATGCAGAAACCCCTACAATAAGATTGATTTCATAAAGAACTTGAGAAATGCTGAAGGTTGGAGTCCAAGGCAACATATATGCTATTCCTTGGTATCCAGGGTGTTTCCTTTAGAACCACATGAATAAGTGGGTGTAAAGTGCTCCTCTTGAGAACTGGGATGCTTTTTTGTTCCCAATTATAGAATCATCTGGGTGGAAAAGACTTTCAAGATCACCAAGTCCAGTTGTCAACCTGAGTGTCATCACTTACCCATCTCTCTCATCCACGCACCTCTCGCATACCCCACAGGACAGGGATTCCATGACGTCTCTATGCAGTCCTTTCCAGCCCTTGAGTCAGAATCAAGCATCTTGTAACTGAACATGCTCCACACGTTACTGCATGAATCCTCTGTGAGGACCTACAGAAAGCTATAACATGCTTGAAAAGGTTGCATGAACAGTACAGACACAACATGCTGATGCTACTCTCGTGATCTGCTGGGGTCTTTGAATGCATCTGTCATTTACACGTCCAGCTCAGCTTAGTGCTTCTGGATAAAACCCAAGTTCTGGGTCTATCAACAGGAGTGATATTCATTTTCAAGGATCGCCTATATAGTTTTACTTCAGGTAGATTTTTTTTTTTTTTTTTTTTTGGTCAAAACAACAGTTTAAGAAAACAGGAACACAAGATATTTGGCCAAGGTACAAAAATCAAATGCCATCTGCTAGCTATCACAAATAAGCAAAGCGGTATATGCAGCCAGACAGTAGTTGAGGCTGACTCAGTGTTCCCCAGAGTGGGGAAAAGGCAAACTGCTTTCAGGGCAGTAGGAGAAGAAATAGCAGGCCATGTTCTGGACTTGGGGATGGGTTGATTTTCACATGAACAGCTGGAACCGTCAACTGGAAGCTTCTTGGCTCTCAGAACAACATTCAAGAAATCAGTAGTAAGGCAAAGGAGCCACGGACCTCCATGAAATCTAGGGAGGCAGAGGGCTGCGCTCATCTCTACTGCAATCCCACCAAAGGGAGAGGCACTAACCCAGGACATCTTCCCCAGCTGTTTGAGGAATAAGGATATCCATTGTCTTCCAGAGGAAAGAAGGGGCAGCAAGTGGGACAGACCTTGTGTTGCCCGCCCAGAGCAGGCACTGCCTGGCACCAGCATCTGTGATCATTTCTAGCTATCAGATGCTTCTCCTGTTTGCTGAGCTGCAGTTAAACAAATAAGATCAGCCAAGATACATGAAGCACTCCAGAGCTCTTCCAGCCCTCCTGACAGTGCTGACTCATTAGAGTTTCCTCCCACATTCTGCAAGAACACCTGAAACCCAGCCCCGATGGCATGTGTCACTGACCTCTAATTTACTAGAGGTAATTGCTGATGCTGGATAATGGAATGGCAGCAGCACGGTCAAAATAAATGCTTCTTGTGGCAGCACTTTATGGAGCTGGCAGTGAGTCCCAATGAGTTCTTGACCCCATCAGCCGCTGCCGCAGGTCTCCTGTCCCAGCAGCTGCGTGCCAGCCTGACCCAGTGTGGCACAACCAAGTACTGCATGAAGCAAGGACGGCTCCTCCCTGCCACCTCTGAACTTGGCACATTCTATGTGTCCTGTCCTTCCTCCCTGTTTCCCTTTTCTTTTATTCTTCTTCCTTCCCCTCTTGCACTCCCTCTGAGGAATGGTTTTCATTTAATTCAAGTGTGTTTGGCAACAGATTTCTTTTGTCCCGCCCAGGAGTCAAGGGCATGTTGAGGTCTTGTTGAGCAATACATCAAGATTAGAAGCTTATTTCTGTTGAGCTGATGTAGTGCCCTGACTGCCCAGCTTGAGCTTTCCACCTTTGGCATTTCATGGCAGGAATGAAGAGGAGACACCCCTCTGCTAAAGCCACTTCACTCCGATGAGTGGAAATGGGCTGCAGTGCTTTGTCCTGCTTCCAGGCAACCAAATAAAAATATAAATAGTTAAAAAAACAAAACCAAACAACAAAAAAACCCAATTTGCCTTGTTTGAGCATGAGAACCATAGGCCAGGGATAAACAAGAAAGAAATGTATATGCAGAATACAGTTACCTTTGATTTTTTTTTTCAGCAATCATTAGAGTTGGCATTCCAATGCCCACCACAGGGGCAGGGTTAGCAAAGGACACCAGGGCTCCCCTAAAAACCGGGGAAGCATTGGAACTCCCGTCCCTGGAGGTGTTTAAGAGACATGTGGGCATGGCCCTAAGGGATTTGGCTGAGTGGTGGGTCTCAATAAGTCAGCTTGATGGTTGAATTTCATGATCTTGAAGGTCTTTTCCAGCCCACATGGTTCAATGATTCTGTGATCTGCTCAGGCATGGAGCAAGCAGAGCAGAGCTTCACCCAGGTTTATAGATTTTGGTGGCATGGAGGAAGCAGTTGAGCACAATATATGCACCTGCCAATACCCAGCATACCTGTACCAGGGCAGCAGAGCACAACAAGTGTGCCTCAGGCTGCTGGTGACCTGGGTTGGCACAGCTGCAGCCAGCGCTCTGATAGTGAGTCATTGCATCTGTAGAACAGCTCAAGCCTGAATGATGCAGCTACTGACCCCAAGGAGGGAGCCCCAGTGAGGCAGAACAGGTATGCACACATTTGAAGATCCAGAGGAGGCTCAATTAGTGAGCTACACAAGGAGGGCAGCATGAGGACAAGCAATGAGCTTGCACTTCTCAAAAAGAAGGGAGCTGCATTTTCAGGCTGCTCCTCTGCTGTAATCCTCATCCATATTTACATGCAGCCACAGTGACTACAGGCAGATGGGAGACATGTTAGGTCTGAACCTAACACACATACATCAGAAGTGCCTTCTTAGCACAGCACTTTCCTGTTGGGGAGGCAGAGGCATTCTGCAGTGGGCAGAGACTCTCTTTCCCCTTCATGCATTGAACACTTCCCATGCATTGAACACAGCCTGGAGCAAACCAACTGCAACATTAAATAAATGGAATAGTTTCCTTTCCTTTCCTTTCTTCAAGGTGTCCTAGACCGCTTTGCTGCTGAGCAGTGGGGTTTTTCTTGACTTCCCACCCCAAGTGTCCTGCTCCTCACCTGCCCCAGATGGGAAAGCTGGAGTAAACCCCATCCACCTCATATCCAGTACCTGCTGTGAGAAATTCCACCCCACTTAGTTTCTCACAAACACAGTCCCAACAGAAACCCTTCCACAACTCCCGCTGTGCTGGAGAGAACTTCCTTCTGGCCCAGCATTAGCGAGCAGAGCTTGTGCTGAAGGAGGCTTTGGCACAACAGCATCTTGTCTGCATGACACGTGGATGGTTATAAAAGTGACTTTTTCCCCTATTGCTGACACTGGAGGAAACTTAGGCAGGCAGCCTCGCTGAGAAAATTGCTCCCTCTCATTTTCTGCCCTCTTCAGAGACTTCTTGTCAATCAGAAATACTTACGTGTGGTCTCGTGCTTAAAAATACACCCAAATGACCATTGAATGCATTTCTCTAAAATGGAGATAAGAGGCTGAGGGCTCAGGAAAATACTGTTTCTTTTTTTTCCTGCTGGAATCAGGAAAGCTGTCCGGCAACAAATCCTTTCGGGAACGTACAGCTCTTGCTAAGGGGCACCGGGTGAAATTGCAGGATGGAGAAATCCAGCGCTGTGTGGTGAGAGGTCAAAGGTAGAAGCCTGATGGCTCTTCTCATCTCTCCCCTTTTGGAGGTGGTTATTTCTGACTTACACTGAGATGAGCACGGGGTTAAGTCAATGAAATTACTGAATGAAAAGCCACAATTTTACAGAGCATGTGCAACCCAACCACTCTGGTACAACAAATCCCATAGACGCTGGAAGTATCATGAAAATAGTGTCTTTAATATACAGTTTATATACTTACAATACGCAGTTTAGATTTGTTCATATACATTAAAAGGAAATTTATTTGCACCTGGTTTAAATAACAACCCGCCTTCAGCCTCTTACACAAACGCCCAGAAGAGCACAGAGTTTCCACAAAACCATGCTTCGTTTCGTAACGGAAATGCACTAAGCTGAAGTTTGAGAGTTCTTTTTTCTTCTTCTTTTTTCTTTTCCCCAAATGTTACTTCTTTTGACCTACCCAAAGTGAATCTAAAGAGCTAAGAACTAACATTACTTTTAACATACTTCAGGAGATTGTCCAAGTCAAGAGAATCACTCTGTAGATTTTCGCTCTGAGAATTTGGTTATTATGCACAGAAATGGTAAAATCTGAGCAACTCCTGGATGAACAGGAGTTTAAGACATAACAAACAAAGAATCATTTATTGCTAGGTCTCAACAAGGAGCCTGAATTTCCATACTGCCCCGATGCCCCTAACAGCGCAACTAAAAGCATCGCTGCGATTACCTTTTCATTCCTACCTTCCATTCTGCACACGGTTGCACTGCAGATTTTGGACATCGAGGAGACGAGGCAGGGGAGCGTGCTCAGCCCTCACCCTGACCTGGTTTGAGGCAGTCTGGCCCCTGGCCCCTGCATACAACTGCTTGGTGCCAGCACGCTTTATGGAGCAGGGAGGCAACTCCAGGAGTCAGTTCAAGAAGAAAACAGGAGAAAACACTTCAAGTATTTACAGACAGATTGGAAGTATGCTGTTTTTGAAACTGTATTGCTATTTACACTGTTTTTTTTCTTGAAGCTGTTGTGGAATGAAGTCAGCTAAAGTGGCAAATAAAACTGTTGTATTGGGAAAAAAAAAAAAAGCATGATGCAGATTTACTTCAAACCCATGCTTCTAGCGGCAAGAACACTTCAAAACACATTTTCCTTGTAAATTTGGAGGGACCAAATGCTTTCTGTCTCCAAATTTCTAGCTGTGGGCAATTTTTACAATACAACAAGAAGGCAAATATGCATTTTCAGTTGATTTCAATACAACTTTGGTTAGCCAGCCAGGCAGCAATACAAAGCTGCAAAGAAGCCCTGTGGGGAAGGTCTCAGCCCTGCAGAGGGCTTGGGCATCCTGGTGGATGAAAAGCTGGACATGAGCTCGCAGTGAGCTCTTGCAGCCCAGAACAACGGTATCCTGGGCTCCATCAAAAGAGGGGTGGCCAGCAGGGAGAGGAGGGGATTGTCTCCCTCTGTCTGCCCTTGTGAGGCCCCACCTGAAGTAGTATGTCCAGGCCCAGAGCCTCCAGCACAAGAAGAATGCAAAACTGTTGCAGTGGGTCCAGAGTGTTGCCACAAGATGATCAGAGGGCTGAAGCAACTCTCCTATGAACAAAGGTTGAGAGAGTTGGGCTTGTTCAGCTTGGAGAAGGCTCCAGGGAGACCTCATTGCAGCCTTCCAGTACCTGACAGGTGCTTACAAGCAGGAGGGGAACAAATTTTTACACGGTCTGACAGTGATAGGACAAGAGATAATGGCTTTAAACTAAAAGACAGGAGATTTAGGCTAGCTGATGGGAAGAGTTCTTTACTCAGAGGGACACTGGAACACGTTGCCCAGAGAGGCTGCAGATGCTCCATCCCTTGAGATGCTCAAGGCCAGGTTGGAAGGAGGACCCGGGCAGCTGAGCTGATGGGTGGCAGCCCTGCCCATGGCAGCAGGGTTGGAACTAGGTGATCTTTAAGGTTTCACTCCAACCTAATCCATTCTGTGATTCTACGATGAAGAATCTCAATCCTAGGCACAACGAGTGTTTAAAGGAAAGCAGCATTTCCTCTCAAGCTTTCTCCAATCCCTCCTCTTGCCAATTCTGTTTCCGTTCTGGAGAAGCACCTGTGCTAGACTGAAATTTTCACAGCTGAAGGCAGCATCAATGCTTTGCCACATGAATACTGCATAGAAAGGATGAATTTCCCAGTGCAGAGTCAAGAGACAATTCCATACATAATGAGAGGCCAGAATTTTTGCTGCCAAAATCCCTAGACAAACAAGATCCCCAACTTAGTAGCACACTACTGCAGACTCTACTAGCTAAATAAGCATCAGAGGCCTTGAGCTTAAATAATAGGAGAAAGGAAACCCAAAGTTAGGACTGGCCAATATTAGCAAAGCATCTCCAAAAAGTTTTACTTTAGGCCCCCTCTGACATGACATGCAATCTCTGCATTCAATAACTCCCTTGCTATTAGCAGATAAAATGGACCAGAACTCAATCTTGGATCCCAGCACACCTCACATCAGCCTGGTCAAAGTCCAGACCAAGAGACCAACTCTGCTGCCCCCCAGATGATGGCTCGACTTCACCCACCTTACTTCCTGGGAACAGTCACTGCTTCCTCAGAGCTAGGCCTGCACCAGAGCCATACATGTGCCCAGGCCAAGAGCACAGCTCAAGGGGCCCAGATTCCAGCACTGCTCAGGTTCCCAGTACAGACGTAAGTGAATGCACAGTTAGACCTTGGGGCCAGTTAGAAAGCAGTGAGTGGTGAGGAAAGGAGCTAGTACCTCTTGCCAATGACAAACTGGAGTCTTTAATACCATCATGAAACTCAGTGGTATTCAACAAATCTGGCTAACACTAGTCTGCATCCTATTTAAGCTCAAAAACACATCAGCAACATGCACATGTGCATGAGTCATTAAATGTCTCCTAAATCATACCACACCTTTAAACACACAAAGCATACCTGCTGCAAACAACACAAGGCCAACGAACCAGCTCAGGAGGAAATGAGATTCTGTGGGCATCAGCACTGCCCTATGCTGGCTGCTACATCTAAGTTCAAGCAAGTCATGACACCCCAGCTGTACAATTTGCAATTTGCTCTCCTGATTTCACCAGCACAGACACTTCTACTCTGCTTGGGCATGCACACAGTGGCTCGATCCTGCAGTCCTCTTATTTACACAAAGGTTAGCAATGCATGAATTGCTATAAAAGGTTTGGAAAGTGAAGGTGATGGGCTGCTCTGGGCTACAGTAAAGGTCAAATGCTAACATATTATGCATGAAAATAAGTAAGCAGTGCTAAGCTAGAATAAGACAACTGGCAGGACATCAGTAGCAAGTTTGCAATTAAGAGGTTTTAGCTGTACTTTTGTACATAAGATCTGCTTCTGAAATCACTGCACATTTCTGCACCTTTCTACAGGCCAGTTCTATTCTGGTCTATGCATACATGATGTTAATGCAGCAAACTTATGAATGCAGATTCCATCACACTCGCTTTGTAAGGAAAAAAAAACACACACAAAAAACATTCCAAGCAGGTAAGCACGGAAACATGGTATATATCCATCTGTAGTCAAAGAACACTATTTTCTCAGGGATGGCAACTTGCAGAAATATTTAACCTCAAGATTGCAGTTCCAAGGAGAGAGAGACCACGCACTTTTTCATCCACAATTAACAAGCCAAGCAATAACAAAGAGAGGTATTGGATATTTAAAATTTGCCCGTTTAACAAATGAATGTTCTTTTGACATAATGAGGGTCAAAAACAGCTGATTTGAATTTGCTTGTGCCTACCAACAAGCACACGTATCTGACCGTTACTCTAATTTAATCCAGTCTTAACTGCAGTTAAAATATTTTAGGACACTAATTAAAATGCATTCAGAAATTACTGATCTGTTCTAAAAGTCAATACATTAACACAGAAGAGTAAGATCATGAATTCTTGGGTTTTTCTATAGGGATATGTTTTGGCTCACTGCCTTCTAGTACCCACATTTAGTTGGGCCTTACTCTCTGGTTAGAAACTGATGGTTTCTATTATTGCAGGACAAACAATGCATCTTGGCTTCAGTATGGAAACATGACATAAAATTTGCCCAGGCAACAGAAAGCTAACTTTGCAAATATGTTTGTTTTAATGAGTCTGTTTTTTTGAGGAAAAAAAGGCAAAACGAGCCTCCCATTTTTGCTCTCAAGACGTGCCTTGAAAGATGCTCTTTGTCCTTCGGAAAGGACAGAGAGGCAGTTGTCAACCCTTTCAACTGCAGGACAAGTGGAAATTTTAGTGTTTTAAGAGGGAAGGTTTAGGTTGGATGTCAGGGGGAAATTCTTTACCGAGAGAGTGGTGAGGTGCTGGAACAGGCTGCCCAGAGAGGCTGTGGATGCCCCGTCCTGGAGGTGTTCAAGGCCAGATTGGATGGGGCCCTGGGCAGCCTGGTCTGGTATTACATGGGGAGGTTGGTGGCCCTGCATGTGGCGGGGAGTTGGAGCTTCATGATCCTTGAGGCCCCTTCCAACCCTGGCAACTGTGTGATTCTGTGATGGTCACTCCAGGCAGCGCTCTGCTCTGTGGCTGGTGAAGCTGCTCCAGCATCTCTGGCTCTGACTGCCAGAAGGTACTGGACACGCAGCATTGAGGATGGGCTCTACAGGCTTTCCTGAGGACAAATCCTTCCTTCACGACTATGAAGGCAGGGAACCTCGGGACCTTGGAGTTATTTAGACATTTTTTAGAGCTCTGCCAATGACAAGAACTCAGCAATGGACTACCAATAATGAATCCTACTTCTGACTTCCCACACTTAATTCAAAAGGTGCCCAGGGGCAGTCTTATGCCTTCTTCCCATCTCTGAGCTCACTTCTGCTGCTACTTTTGCCTGGCATCTATTGCCGCAAGTTTTTGTAACCAGGCAGTTGAGTTTGCACATCTCAATGAAGCTACTGTCCCTTCCACTTCGACATTCACATTTTCCTAGCCCACTGCAAGTGAAACAGGTGAACTTAAGCATTACAAGCATTTCCTGAGGCATGGCCCAAACTCTCACTGGGCCCCTTCTTATCTGCGTGGCAGGCACTGCTCCTGGTTCTTTGCACCTCACCAAAGTTTTATTTCAAAGGCATCCTGCAGTACTATCACCTTCCCACACAGATCTGACTCCAAGAATAGCACAGCACATTTTCAGATGATGGTAACAACAACAGATGAAACGTAATGGGTTTCCTCAGGGCAGAGCAAGGCAAATGGAAGGGCTGAGCTACCAGGCTGCTCAGACTGTCCTTGTGGCTGTGAGGGGCTGGAGCCACTGAGGACAGGGTTTGTGTAGGGAGCTGCATTTCACATAGGAAAGCTGCATGACCCGAAGTCGTGCCACTGACTGCAGCTATCTGACTACAAAAGCAACTTTTGAAATCTACAGGTCACAAACTTTTAGTTGGCCAGGTCAGAGCGGCTCAGTAGGAAAATCCCCCTTCTCCCTTCCCTTTGGGCACTAAGCTAAGCAAGCTCTTTTCTCTGAAAGTGAGGTGGAAAACATACCCACAATTATAGGTAGTCATGAAGACACTGTTAATAAAAACAAGCTGCAAGAGTAGTGTATTAGTGGCACTTCACAGCAATTCTTAACATTTTCAGATGTAGTGTCAAAACCATGTTTTTCTATCTCTGACCATGCTTACTGTTAGCAGAAAAGGAAAAAAAAAATCACAGCATGTTGTCAAATATTATTTGAAGAAATACTCCCATAAGAAATACATTTTTTTGCAGTTAACTCAAAACTGTAAACTGGATTGGCGTGTGTGTGTGTCTTTCAGCATCAAATTGTTCAGTAATAAATATGACTAAGTCTTAATAGAGTACAGAGTGAAAGTTCCCTTAGTGTCCAGTTTTTAGCAGCTGTTGAACATTCAGGGATGCACAAGGCACACCTCTGCAGATTCTCTACCATTATTATTGACATACAAAAAAAAACCCCACCGTTCACCACTCAAAAACTTCTATCTGCATAGTTAAGAATTTTTCTATTACTATTTACAGGAAGGGCTCTTAGTGCAAAAAACAGGAAGTGATGTATTAGCTGAAGTGCCTCTAGCACACCTCATACAGTTCCACTGAAAACTTGTCAGCATCACATCTTGGGCCGCCAGCCATTAATGAACTGTAGTATTTTCTTAACCTGCAATTTGCTTAGCTTAAAGTCTTCTGACAGGATTTCTTCCGTTAGCTGAACCAGTAAATTGCCATCAATCTTCTCTGTAACAAAAAATGAGATGACATCTTCAGACAGACCAATAAACCTCAGCGATTTAGACACTTCCTCTATCGAGAGTCCAGAAAGGTCTGTGGGTGGCTGCCAGGGAGAGCCATCCCCACAAGACCTTGGCGCTAACTGGAGGTGGAGGGGAGATGAGAAGGGATAAGACACAGAGAATGTATCCTGCATGCCCTTTTTAACCAGATATTGATCTTCCAGGAGGTCTGGAGAATCCGTTTTTGATTCTTCCTCGGCACCATCTATTTTTAGTGGCAAAGTACACATGTCTGTAACTTGTTTCTCTTCGCTTGACTTTGGTGCCCGAGGAGGTAAGGCAGGACATGAATGACTCTGCTTTGCATTGCTGTCTCCCAGAGTTTTCTCATCAGTGCTGCCTAGAGAGTAACTTGCTGACTTCGGGCAGCTGGAGATGTTGAACTCTGCTGGGGACAGCTGGGAGTACCCCGCAGGGAGCTCACACCCATCGAAGTCAAAAGTCAAAGGTGCTGGGCAGTTCCTCTTTGGCGTGCCTGGAGTCTTCTGTCTGGGGTAACTGTAGCTCCTGCTTGGATCGAGCAGGAAATCACTCCTATTCTGGCCTTCCATAGCTCCTGAAAAATGGTTCGGCCAAGATAATCTGGAAGGCAGAGCTTCAATTGAGGGGCTTCCAAAAGGCATTGTGTTCTCAGGCTCTTTGGATTCAGTTTTCATCACGGTGCAAGGGTAGCATGAAACAGTTGTGCTGCTCTCAGCTGGGTTCGTGCTGTCACTCTCTGTGACGCTGCTTAAGGAACAAAGCAGAAAGGATTTGGTTAGCACCAAAGTAAAACGTGAATAAATACATTAATCATCATACAAAATCAGAAAGTTGTTGTTGTAAGGAAACAATCTTTTTTTCTGCTGTCAGATTGTTTCAGATTTCAATTAACAATACAAACGTTGATGGTTCGTTTCTACAAGCCAGATGAGATGCTGATATACCCCAAAGCCTCACGAGATAGATTCATAGATTTTTTTTTCTTCTTTAAGCTCAGAAAAAAAACACAACAACAAACAGATGTCTCAATTCTGTGTTGTGTCATCTCCCAAATATTCAGATTTTCACTGTTAAATTCCTGAGGAACATCATCATGGTAAACGAATAGCTTCATGCATACTAGAGGATTTTCTAATCCTGTCTTTTATTTTTAAACACCACAGATGCGTTACAGTATGTAAAAACTCCTAACAGAGGCAGGTCACCATTGCAGTAGTTACAAGCTTGGTAGACATAAGAGATGACCAAAAGCCCTTTTGGGGCCAGTATTTTCATTTGCTATGGCACTGCACCAGCGTACAGTACAATAACACAGAACAAATTATTGCTTACTGCCAAAGGAAGATTTTTACCTGGAAGGGTAAGTAGAGAGCTGTATTCATTGAAATACCAGATTTTAAACTTAAGCCACAGTAAACTGCTTATTCATATCTTTAAAAAGTTCTGACATAAAGCCCTTGCTTTTCAAAGGCACCTAAAGAAAAGTTATCCTGAACCTACTTCCAGGCAGTAAATCAAACTCAGCCTGTCCAAGGAAACTGACTGTTTATATCCAGGCCTTTCCAAAAGACTGAGATGCTAACAAATACATACAATCTGTTACCAGAAGTGAATGTTCTCTGCTTTTATGCCACTTTCTAAAAGAGAGTCTGAAGGATTTGGCTGATGTTCGGAATTCTGGCCAATTAAGCTGGAACACTGCAAAAACAATTAGCAGACTTATAAAATCCTTACCTAATACAGCAGAGGGAAACCAACAGTTGAAATAATTGTTTTAATTACTCACCTCTCTCTTAGAAACTAATTACTCAAGAAAGAAAATAGGCAGTAATTCTGTGGCAGCTCAATGAAAACTGTTTGAGGAGGGAGACAGCTTCTGAATAGACCACAGTTTTGAACAGATTGCCACAAAAAAATTACTTCCCATGTACTTACAGCGAGTTAAAAAGGAAGCCAACCTAGACTTGCTTAGCAAAAAAGTAGATGCATAAATGCAGTTCTAATCTATATCACTGAAAAATCACAGTTCCCTCAGTTTCCCTCTCTGACAACTTGCTCTCCCACTCAGTGATCTCCAAATATTTGTTTTTGTTTTTTTTTCCCTGCACAAAGCTGCCAGTAAAAACAGTTGGCTTATAACAATGCCACACTTAAAAAAACCAAAACAACAACAAAAACAAAAAATACCACTCTCATCAAGGATATACCTTCAACTGGTCAATTTACTCAAAAACATTTTTCCAAAAATCAAGACACTGGGCTGTCTAATTCAGAGTAGACAGTCAACAAGCTGTTATGAACAACTGACCATACAGATGAATTACACTGACTGATCCTGCTTCTGTTCTCTAATCCAATGTTAGAAACAGGAACATTTAAAAGATTAACATTTTAGAAGTTCAAAAGAATTAACAAAAAATGATAAAATATTCACAAACCATTTCCTTACTCATACTGCACTAAAATTAACCTGCTGAGGCTCAGAGCCAGAGGATGCGAGAAAAACCTCCAAATTACAGGGTTTAATAGGCCAAAAAGGAGAAATCATATTGTTCTTTTTTGTTGAAAAACCAGTTGCAACCCTTTAAGATCCAGAAAATAAGATTAAAATGTCAAAACTTGAAAAGTAACTTCACCAGAAATCTGGTTACTCCACATGATGTCTACTTTCCACCTGCTTCCTCAGCAGCTCCAGATCAATGACACCAAATTGGAGATACCCGGTATGGACCCAAGATATACACATCTGTGATTAATTTCATGTGAATTTCCATGCAAAAAAGTCACCTGCATGAGAAACTACTCATTGTTTTCTTGCTTTCTTGGGAGACAGATGCGTTGTTAGTTATCAAGAACGAAAACAGCATTTGATGGGCCCCAAATTCTGGGAGGTCTTGTGCTTAATCTCCTACAGAGTAGACTTTTACAGATCTATCCAATAGGCTTCCAGAAAAATAAATGACAAGCCTTGATCTAGAGCGACCATTGCCAGGTACACAGCACTTAGCTGAAAATGTGCAGTATGGCTTAGAAAGGCAACTCCAGGAATTATCATACCATTGCACCTAGACAGAACCAATTTCAGCAGCATTTCTGATCAATCCATAATACTCAGGCAGTACCTTGGAACTTTCTTAGCAACAAAGCTGAAGAGGTACAAAAGAATCATGACATCCAAGTAAAAAAGGAGGTAAAATTTCAAACGACATACACAGTTTCTAAAGCCAAAGGAAGAACATTGCATTGCAAAGAAAAGGTATGCAGCCAGGAAGTTCAAAATCCAATGTCAACTTCTGACTAGCCTAAACAGATTTTCCAGTCTGTGGTTTAAGTTTGTGCTGAAGTGGGTTTGATCCACAAGCTGCCTGGATCCATTTTTGCCTTTTCCTCACTTCATGCTCAGCGGCGTCTTCCAGCTTCACTGCTTTCCATCATACTCACCTGTAGGTTCACATTTGGTTGGCACAAAACATTTCTGGATTACCACACCCTTCTATGCCCCCAGTTATCAAGAGCAGGTAGCACTACACGCGTGTGAGACTGAAATTCCACTTGAAAACTAGCTTTGAGATTATCTGGTTTGAAGATTCAAGCCATTTAAGAATTATACAGAACTGCACAGGATTTTCCAGTCAAACAGTCTCTGCCATCTTACGGTGAGATTACCTATAGCAGTAGGTATTTAATACAAATTGCTATGTCCTATATAATAACATACATGTTGTGCAGTCCTGAAGAATAGTAGGACAGAGTAGGGCTAGGAGAGCGCGTCTGCTGTCGTGCAGGTTTGACTGTGCGAGGAGGGATGGAAGGACTAGTGGAAGATGGTTTTGAACTCCGTGGTGGGACAGGGGGAGCGTTCAGGAGCCTGCATTCCTCTTTTACCTGTTAAAAAAAGGACATGTAAGTAAGCAGCCAGAAAACTCGGGCAACAGTGCTCTCCAACAGATGAAACACATCTGCTTCAGGCTTATTCTGTGAAAGGAAATAATTAAAAAGGGAGGGGAAGAGAGAAATGATGCTAAGTATATACATTTGTAACAGTATGTGGCTGTCATAAGAAAGACAAAAGAATGCTTTACTACCAGTAGAGCTACTACCAATCTTTTAGGGGTGCTTTGCAGTAGTTTGAGATCCACTCATTTATAAGAAGGAACAATGAAACCATATAAAAGAACCTTCCTAACGAAAACAAAACCGGAGACTGTTCCAGATATTTTATATTCTGTAAGAAGCAATTCATTAGAATCAAACTCCATTAGTGTTGTTTATTTAGATGTAATAAACCAAGCTTATGTAATGAAAAGATCTCAGCAGATCTCGATGTTTCCTGACTTACTTCACCAGTGATACTCACCATCCAGTTCCAGGATAATTCCCTGCTTCCTCCCTCAAGGAACAGTATAAATATTGTAGATTTACCAGATGCACCCAGGACACATCTATCTGCAGGAAAGCACTAAACAGAAATGACCTTGGTGGCCACCGCTCCGTCTTTTCCTGTGGGCTACCCAGCAGAGGCCACAGCACCACTGGCCATGCTCCTTCTCCTCAGTATATTTCATGATGTACATACTTCTAATGCCAGACTTGATAAGGCAGATATGCGGAGTGGTTTTCAATAGATAAATTATAAACAAAAAATCCCCTTCCCTCCTTTTTTTCTCTCCATCCTGTGTGTACAAACTATGAATGGACCACAACCTGGGTTCAGATTGGGAGACTGGAATGCTCTAGCTATCTGAATGCTGGAATTAAAATATGGAGCTTCAGTCCTTATGTCAAAGTAGTCCAGGCTATGGTTAACTACAAAATGTATAAGGTAGAAAGTGCAGAGCAGAAAAAGCTGTTAAAATAATGCATCCATATAAATGCCAAACAGACCTCTTGTTACCAGCCACACAAATCTTGTTTCTAGGATCAGAGTAGCAGCAGAAAGGTAACGCAAATGAAATGGGTGGGGGACTACAAGGATAGATCTGGGCATAAAGCAAAAACCATTTATGAGTTGTGTTACAAAAATATAGCATGTCTTCTTTAGCCTACGTTTCCTCAGAGCTGACTTTGATATTAAACACTAACAACAAAGCCAACTGGTCTACTCACTGCAGTCAGCTAACTTTGCAGCTTAAAACACATGACTGTAGCACTGTTTACATTAATTTAGCTTGGTCCTGCCTAGGGAGGAACAACGTACCAAGATAAAGCTCCATCAGAAAAATGATGGACTAAGACCTTAATCTCATCAAGACATACAAGGGAGAGCAACTTGGTGGGACCAGAGATGTGTGAGGCGGCTGAGAACAAGGCTGCCAGGCAAGCCTTTTGAGGACTCACCACTTCCCCAAGGCAGCAGCAGATCTCCATGTTGTCCTCATTTGAAATCATCTCAGATGCACCAGAATAGGAAAATTCTCTTTGTGTTTCAAACTTAGTTTATTTTTAAATTTACCAACACTGCAGAACTAAAAGTTATCTTATCTTAGCAGTTTTGCAACACATAATTAGCAATTAAAGTGATTTAATTTATTTAAAAACAAAATAAATGTGGAACCTTTTGCAATCCACTTCAGTGCATTCAGAATGCAACAACCCATTTAGTACTAAAGTAAAATGGAAAACTGGGGACTGGGACATTGTAGTACATTTTTTCCTAATTCAGAACACGACAAAATTACAGGAAATGCCTGACAGCATAAAATACTGAAATAAATCTTGCTCTAAGGGTTCTTATTTGCTCTTTCAGAAAAAAAAAGGAATCAATTTTATTCATGTTTGTTATTGAATTCAGGCATAAAACTCTTCAACCATTTTAGTGCTGTGCCCCAAGGATGCATAAGGACTTCATTTTTTTTTTCCCAAGTCAGAGTAGGCAAAGTTAATACTGCATGCCATGGAACACACACCCATGGGGGTCAGAGACCATTCAGGGGAGCTCTTAGGGCACAGCAGACAGTCATGAGGTTAAAGAAATTCTTTCCTGGGAAGAATAACAGCATTCAAAGGTACTAGCAGACCTAACTACACCCAGCTCCTCTGCTGACCTAGATTGCAGATCAGAAGTGGGCCGTAAATAATACCAGTTTGCAATCCCAGTTGGTCCCTGTCACAAGACTGCGATTACAGCTGCCAGGCACAGCTCTCGGGAAACACAGCAGAGGAACAAAAAGGAGATTTTGCACATTAAACCGACAGCAGCATGGGGAAACTTCACAGGAGATCTGCGCTCGTGGGGAGAACAGCAATGAAACAGTGCGGGAGAGGAGGGGAAGAGTGGCGGTGTGACACAGCGCCTGCCTTGGTGACTTGCTGCTGTTACACAGAAACACTCTTTCACCCAGCAGCGCTAGATGCCGCATGCCTGCCAGGGAGAGATAAAGTGCACTTGCAATGAGAGCCCCGGGACATCTCCTCCCACGCTCAAACACTCCTTCCCATGCTAATCCTGGTAACGGTGACCCCTTCCTTGCATGAGGTGCTGCAAGGATTTTAGGATGCGCTGCAACTCATCTCTCCCGGGGTGATACCACCCATGCAAGCACCCCTGGCTGTGGTGCCAACCCAACCCCCCCGCTACCAGCACTGCCACCAGGGTAACGCAGCCTGCAGGAGCACCAGCCTCCGGCACGCTCCATCTGGGCATGCTGTAAATCAATCAGGAAAACAGCCCCTGATATTATGCAAATTAGTGTTCTGGGACCAAAGCAATTTCTGTTTTACAGGCCTTAATTCAGAGGTCATTTTCTTTCTCTTTTCCCTTCATGCTACTTTGGTTTTCTGAAAGGTATTTAGAAAATACACACTGCATCAGAACATTTTGCCCTGTGGGTGAAAAGAAAGACAGAAGAGCTTCTGAAACACCTGAATGTCCTTTTCTCCTACAACCAGCTCCTACACACACACTTTAAATTTAGTGCATGCAAAAACACAATTGCCTGCCAACCTTTAAACAGAAACACTATGGAATATCATTCCAGGGGATGTGATGACTAAACCTCATGTTCACCAGCAGCTACTGAGATCCACTTATTCTATAAATACCCTACATGGAAAGCATGCAAGCATCTCGGCCAGCCTCAGCCCACTGATGAGCTCGGCCGGTCACTGAGACTCATTCCAAAGCTGTTCCAGGAAGCCACAAAACTGATTCTAAATCATTATCCCATCTACAGAGAGGCAATTTTTTATTTTTATTTTTCACAAGGTTACACCCTGCCCAGCTCGAAATGCAATCTAATAGCTTTAGCAGAAATTAGTTCTCCTGCATGGTTAGGAAGTCACGCTGAAAATGCTGACAGCACATGGGTGCATTACCTCAGCCCTGCTATGACGGACATGACAAAAATGCACGCTTTTCAAGCTGATGATAAAAGGCAAAACACACACAGGTCCCCCAGAGGCCATGCTGCTGTCCCCAGAAGGGACTCTACTCCACAAAGGTCCTCGAGGCATGACACAGTGGGCAGGCGTGCCCCTTCCTCTCAGCACCCAGGCCGAGTGGGCCTCAAGGACATGGCATTCCCTTCCCCCTTGGCCCACTGTGACAGCAGTCTTCCTCCTCGCCCTCCCCCTGCCTCGGCTCCAGCTCTGTGCTGAAGCGGTCTGGCTCACAGAAATCAGCAGGAAACTAATCGTTTTCCACATCCAGACCTGGCTCCCTGCCCAGGCACAGGAGTGCCAGAGCCAGCACAAAAGGAAAGCCAAGCCCACGTGGCTGGGAGAGGAGAAGGGTGGGAGCAGCCCCATGCCGGTTTACATTTGTGCAGCTCATCCTGATACAGTGCAGTGGGCACTTCTCCAACACACTTTGGACAAAGCGTCGGTGCAAACCTGAGCCTGACAGCAAGGAAGTGCTCATGGGTTCCAGCACTCAGACATAACACGTAAACACTCCTTTTGCTAAGACGACGTAATGTCTTGACTTTCCTGTCTTTGCTGAAGCTGCTGTGGCTGCTTTTTGGGAAAGTTTTGAAGGGCTGCAGTTGTGCTTTTCACACCTGTGCCGGCTTATGCCTTCTCTCTCTCCTCGCAGCACCTCCCTAGTGGCTGCATAGCAGCACATCAATCTACTGAAAGCTGACCCAGCTCAAAGAAATCAATCATAGTTGTCAACCAGGCTGTGATCTGACTCATGATGAAAAGGCTCCTGAAACACTGCTGAGACAGGAAGATGGCAATGGCAGAGAGATCACCACCATGTGCTGCAGTTTGGTCTCGGATGAGCCCCAGCTTGCTGTGCAGCCTTGGTTTTGAAAACATTGCTCAATTTGCAAGGACGTTTTCCTTAATTAAACTTCATTTTAAAAAAAACAGCAAAAATGATTAACTGATTTGTTAAATAATAAGATAATCAACTACGTATCACTTAATCTTGCTAAAGTTCCCTAGCCACTCTTCCTTGGGCAAGTTTTCTTTTTTCCTGTTTTTAAAATAAGGTGTAGGACTACCTCAAGAGACCATGCAATGGGTGGACTTTCCATACAACCCACATAAGCTCCTGTAGGAAAAATGTTTTTAATTTTGTCGCTGAAGTCAATTCAAACAGTTCAGGTTTGGAAAAGTGATTTCTCCCAAGAGTTTTTAACCCTCAGACAGAATTCACTCTGTTTAAAACTGAGTCTTCTAAAAGGCTCGTTTCTAAACTCTGCTGCAGAGTATATATTTAAGCATGAATTCTTTCAATAAGCACTACCAAAACAGAGCTAAATAATCACTCCGTGAAGTCTGGTTGAAGGTGATGAACCTAATAATCTCCACTCTCACTGAAAATACGAGAAAACAGACCACACGTGGAGAGATGATGTCACCTGAAGTATCAGGATTAAGCTACCAGATCAGCTACATTAAATATACTCTGATGAATTTTAGGATGTGACTTACAGTTGCTATGTGGTTAGCTGAAGTTGCACACTTCTTCTCCCTATTTCCCTGCATGTGCTCTACCCCCTCCAAAGTCTTCCCCATAAAGAATTCCCAAGCAAACTTTTCATCTGCTGAAAAAGAAACAAACCAACATAAGCAACCCTGACTTACTGCTTCTGATTTGGGAGGCACTGGAGGTGGAGGTAGGGAAACATCCGCAGACTTTGTTGCTGCATCGACTGTCCCAGGCACAGGAAGAGATGTACTACCACACTTTGATCGGAAGGATCCTCTGTAATTGTCACATTTGTTCTTCTCACTTAGCGAGCGAGTGAGAGGCTGCTCACCAGGCTTTCCAGACCCTTGGTCCAACCACAGCTCTTCGTAAGGAAGTTCTGGTTTCGTAGGCAGAAACATGGACTCTTCACCAACCTCTGGAAAAAGGTAATCACTGCTACTGTCACCAGAATCCTGGTACTGAAGCGCATCGTGAGAAAACAGTGCCCACTCGTTACACAGGTCCCTGCAGCCGTGGAGGTTCACTTCGCTATTGCCATGCAAATTGTTGCCATAAACACACACCGACAGCCGGTGGAAGGACTGCGTGAGTTCGTCCCGTGCGTAGCTGAGGGAGTTGGGCACGTGAGTGTGCCCGCTGCACCGGCTCTTCTTTGGGCTCTTGCAGTCTTCATTCCAGTCTGTTTTCACATCGCGCACGGCCCGGGAATACTCATCTATGTCAAACTGTTCCTGGCATATATTAAACCAATGCTGGATGAGGGATTCGTGCCACAGCTCCCCCTTCACAAGACTGTCAGGTAGAGTAAATTTTGGAAGTGTCAAGTGCAAGGGAAAATGCATGGGAATAATTTTGTTGCCACGAAGCACGCAACAAACCACCACAGTTTTGGTCTGAATGTTGACAAACTTGTATCTGTGCCCTTCGCGGATGAAATGCAGGTCGTAGGGGTTTCTCGGCGTAGGGCTTGGCACAGTCACATTAACAGGCAGCCGGGTTTTTTCTACTATATTACGAATTGTGTGCTCACCTTCTTGCATCTGTACCTCCAATGGGCTGCGGGTGCTAAACTTGCCCTTACACTGGAATGGGAGACTGATGCTTTCATTGGTCCTGTGGTTCATGCAGATGAGGCAGGGCATTTTGCCTCTGCCAAGTTTGCTAATTGAATTAAGTTTACCAATTTTTTTGAAGATGGTGTTGAGTCGTGACTTCTCCTTAGAAGATTTTGCATAAAGGATTTCTGCTTGTCCCATTAAAGTGAGTTCATCCCCAGTACTAAGGGTAATGTTGTAAACCTCAGTGTCTTCATTGCATTCACCTGAAGCTACCTGCAAAACAGTAATGAAATAAATTGTTTTTACCTCGCTGAAAACAACATCACAAATCACATCAAACCTAATGAGATTGGACTTGAAGGTGGTACTTTGGGAGAAAAACACTACTTTTATTTGAACAGCTGAGTAGTCAGACACACGTGAGGTTTAATGTAAAGCTCAGTCAAGTAATCTTTTTTTACTGTTCTGTGTATTCTCTCATCTTATTAGAGGGGAAGCAGCCACTTGGGAATGACAAAGAAGACACGAGAACAAATATAACAAGCTTTAAAATAAAGGACAACTCCCAGCAATTCAAACAGCCAGTTGTGTCACACAGCTATGAGAGTCTGTCTGGATTTGCTCAGGTATCTTCTCTTCACTCCTTGTTTTTGCTGTAACTTATTTGTCAGGCTCTTAAAGGAAGCAAACATTCTTCTTCCAGCTTCATCTCCCTGAGGAGCTGAAAAGGTGATCTCATCACTATGAATGAAACATATCCCTTTGATATAACCTCTTCACAGCTAGGGTGAATGACAGATGACATCTATTCCCTGGAGGACAAGTCAAGAATATTGGTCTATTCCACATGCCCAACTCCTTCTCTGTCTTCAGACTTCCTTCCTCATTTTTTGATCATAATTGCAATTTAAGATATTAAACAACATATGCAAAGCCATGTGTGTGCTTTTCTACTATAGAAATTGTACTGGAATTAAAAAAAAAAAAGAAAAAAAAAAAAGAAAAACAGATGTCCAAGGCTCATTTATTCCTGAAGTTATTTCCTTAAGACTGGAATAACTCTTTATGCACAAGACTGCTCTGCTTTCTATTTGAATGGCTTAATGTGAAAGGCCTTTTTCAGGGACCAACCAGAACTTAATGAGCTCTTCTTCGCAGTAGCAGATACTTATTCTTAAAGGAAGGTGCCTCAGCTAACCACAGCAGGCCTGCTAAAGACCACTTTGTTCAGGAATACTGAACATATTAAAAAAAAAACCTGCCAAAAATAAGCAAGAATAATATATCCCTGCCCCATCTACATGACTCCTAAAGATTCCACCTAGCTATGTGAAGTTCACATTCCAGCCTTCAGACTTCGTCACAGGACAGCCACTGCATGAAATCAGAGCTGTAATTCCAATTAGTCAGTAATTGAGAAGTGCTGTAAATAATGCTTCCTCTTGTAAGATGTGATCTGCAATTCACTTGTGTTTGTAAAGTCATTATTATCTTCTGGAAACCTCTCTCAGCAAATGGCCAGGCAGCTCAGAAGAGGTGTGCCTTCGGAGTGTTTCAGCTCAGCACTTCCTGACAGGAAGCCATTCAAGCCCTGAATTATCCAAACAAACTCTAATTGGCCTAATCCAGGAAACCACTGGGATTTTATTGTACACAGTAGTCACAGTTTATGCTGCTGGCCAGACAATATAATGAAAAGCTGCAACATGAAAAGAAAGCACTCAGATTTTTCTGCTGATAACACCAGAATGATGCTTATTGCTATTTTCTCTTCAGAACCAATGAATGCTACGTTCGCATTGCTGCTGGTGAGGCCCTGACCTTAGAGGAGCTAAGGGGGCTGAAGACACAGGACTCTGTGCATGTCCCATGCAGTCCACTGCATCTCTTCTCGAAAGGGCACGTCCTATAAGAATGTGGGTTTCTATGCAAATCCCCATAAAGGACTTCTTTGGGCAACACTGTCAGACATTTAAATGTGTGACAGCATTATTACAGCTTCTTCTTACCTCCTGCACAATGAGGACAGAAGCGAGGGAGCTGTTGTAATCCATGACTGCAGGAGCTGCTGCTTTGACAACCTGCAGCTTCTGAGCGATTTGTGAAAAGCCCATTCTGAAGGACAACATGGCCACTCAGATGTGCAGCCACAGGAGGTACTGAGCAAGCACAGACACACAGTGAGCCATGGTTATGAAAGCAGTTGCTGATTAGTGGCATTGAATTCAACCAATAGCACAAGGATTGTGACATCAGATAGTCATGTTTAAAGACAAAACTACTCTAAATTAAAAAAAAAATAAATTGGAAAACGTTATTTTCTTTTCTTGGAATACAGTAGCAGTGTAATAATAGACAAAAAATGGCTGAATCAAAAGAAAAACTATGCTGCTATTCTATTTTGAAACTGAGAAAAATGATGTGTGTGCCTCCTTCTGAATAAATATCTGTAAGGGACCAGTTGCTGTCTAAAATGGTAACGAATTGAAATGGTGAAACCAAAAGTCTTAGGCTGCACAACTGATTTCATTTCTACTCACAAAATCTTACTCTGGGGACATTAAGGCTGCAGGTACACCTCAGCAGGTCAAGTGTATTTTAAATTTTAAGTTCCTAAAATTCAGGCAGCTAACTCCTCTCTTGTATGAGATTAATTCTGTTATTTATTTACCTACTACTTAACATTCACAACAAGTGCATGGCAGGTAAATATTTGGGTGCAGAACATCAGCAACAAACACATACCTTGACCCACTGCCTCTACTCATGCTACTACAGCCCCACATGCTGCTGTCTGCCCTTTCCACACCTCCAAGTCTTCCTGCCAGGTCTTTTCTGCAAGCTGTTTCCTGGACAGTCTGCCTGCTGCAGGGCTAATCCCACGGCAGGAACAGGGCTCTGTGCTCACTAATGAACCTCAGGGGGCTCCCACCACTCTGGAAATCACAGAATATCCTGAGCTGGAAGAGACTGACAATGATCATCAAATCCAACTCCTGGCTCCACACAGGACTGCCCAAATTCAAACGTTATGTCTGAGTGTGCTGTCCAAATGCTTCTTGAGCTGTGGCACTTGGGGCTGTGACCATAGCCACGGGCAGCCTGTTCCATGCCCACCACCCTCTGCTGAAGAGCCTTTCTGTAACATCTAATCTGATCCTCCTCCTCCTGAAGCAGCTCTATGCCGTTCCCTTGGGTTCTGTTGCTGTCACCAGAGAGCAGAGCTCAGTGCCATGAGGCCTCCCTCAGCCTCCTCTGCTCTGCAAGTGAAGCAGTCAGACACAGATGCCCACTGGTTAAAAGTTTCTAGGAACAGATTTGATTCACGCCAAAAAAGATGCTTAAAGACAAAGCGATCTAAGAGAAATCACAAATTATTTCCAAAAGTATATCACAAATTATTTCCAAATGAAATGATGACAGTGACAGGGATAAGACCATGCCCTCTATCTTCCAAGCTTCCAGCACCAGCCCAACAGGATCCATACCTTCAAGCACCACGTCATGTCTTTATACTACCACCTGAAGCATGTAACATACACTGCCTGCTGTGAAATCAGTGCAGGGATGTAGCAGAATCCTGGACTATTTCAGACACTTTGAACTGCTGGCAGCACATCTCACAACATACAATTCCTGTACAAGAGAGACAACAGTGCCCTATCTCAGAGTGGCAGTTAAGGTAGCCCAGACTATAGATGGATGCAGACAGATATATATCGTCTGTTTTCCCGGCAAACTGCTGGAATTTCCTCGTAACTCTGGAAAATATGTAGAGTTACAAAAGGCACCAAAAAGCCTTCATTCAGCTGTATAACACACCAGGAGGGCTGACAGATCCCAGTGTGGCTCCAGCCTGCCCTGCGCTTTCCGCTCGTCTTCCCTTCCTGCTCTGCCCATATTGGAACCATGCTCTTCTCATCTCCTCAATGGCTTTACCAGGCCTGCTTTGAATCTTCAGCTACAAAAACAGGCAGTCTTGCAGCAGGACGGGAGAGCAGCTGAAGGAATGGGGAGAGGAGGAGGGAAGGTGAACACATTTTCTTCAAACCTTTCCTCAGTGGGACAGTGCACTTGTTTTAATTATTTTGTGTATGCTCTCTCTTTACATCTTCTGTTTAAAACACAGGTTCCACACTGGGCAATTTTAGTGCAACAGCCCACAGCAGTAACTGCCACACATCTCAGTGCCATGATAAACACAAAGTCTTATCTAATTATTAGCCTTGGGAGCATCCTGAAGTAACTCCTTCCCCAAACACATTTCTCTTCTTTGTTCTCTCTTAAAGTGCTGCTTTACACATTAAAACAATCAACTCTGTAGCTTTATTCCACCCTCATCCTTCTGTCACTTTCTCATAATAGGTGAGAATAACCAGTGCTTCTAGCTCTGTGAAAGAAGTAGTGTTTGCCACACCATTCTGCAAAAAAAATCTCGCTAGATGTTCAAACTGAACATCTCCCAGTATGAGAGAAGATCCACACAACCAGAAGCAGTTTGCTTCACACTTCACACATCTACTCCTCAACTTTACACATACCGATCCATACTAACAGCTCAGTACTGATGCCAGACTGCTGACCAGAAAGGCTGCTGGCTTGCAGACATCTTGTCAAACATGGGGGGGGTTAAGGCATTCTCATGTTTTCAGCTTGCAATTCAATAACCATTCAGAAGCCAGTTATATCCACTGCAGAAGACAGGCATCAGGAAAGTGATGAATGATGATTTAGGCAACGTGTTCTTTTGGGAAAATTCAAGCATATTGTAGCATATTGTTTCTTTTGCTTAAGGAAAGGTTAACTCAGAAAAATAGATTCTGATAACACCTGAGTCAATATCCTGTCCCGAGCTCCGAGTGTTCTAATTTGTTACAGTTAAGAGGCAGAAGTCCTTAGTCACTTGGGCATGTAGGAACTCCTTATAAAAGTGATTTGTGGCTTCATACAACTTGTTATATCTGCTAGATCTTATTAGAGCAATGCAAGCATTGCATTGTCAGTACAAATTCATAGTTAGAACCTTTATGAATTTTTTTTTTTTTAAACAGTGAGGCCTCTGATGCATAGTTACTGCATACAGATTCTATTATTAAAGCCAACAGACCAACCAGAACATATATTTTTTTCCACAAGGTGTAGAAAGTGGATAAAGAGTTTTATTTAATATAAAATAGGGTATCCAGAAGAGTTGTAAGAAGAAAAAATCATGATTTTTTTTCAAGGAACTTAACTATTTTTTCTTTTAGCCTCCTTGTTTACATAGACTTCTACCTGTGTGGAACCTCAGCACCCAACTGCAGAAACCTATTGCTGCTTCAGCAAAAGCTAGGGCCCTGGAGTAGCAAAACTTTCTTAAGATTTTTCTTCTAAGCATAGAGAGCTAAGCTTATTCTCATCATTGCAATGTAATGCTGTTATATAAACAAAATTATCTGTCACTATGAATTGAATAGTAACATAGAAAAGGCTATAAGATATCTGTTCATCGAAGAATAGACAGAATGCCCACAATTTTCTACTAGGAATAGATTAGATTTTGACTGTAGGCAATCAGCTTATCCTCAGATCACTCAGATTTACTGTGTCTGTAGATACTGCTGGCTACCAGGTACTGAGGTGACCAACAAGGTATATAAGCACAGATACATGCACAAATCAGAAGAAATTAATAAGTAGTTCTAATCATTACAAAAATTTGGTTTAAACTCAAATTCCTGCTTGCTGTTCTGTGAAAAGTACTCAGGACTCTACCTTCTAGTCCCAGCTCTGCTTTTGATGGCATGCCTTACAACACTCCTTCAAATACAACACAGGCCCTAAATGTTCTGCCTCGGCACACTTCCCAGAAAAGCCACCTAACTGGGAAACAGTAAGAAGGGAAGGGAGATGTCTCCGTGGCCTACCTTAGGGTAAAATTTTACTAACAAGTGAAAGCACACAAAGTAAAATAAAACCTCCCTCTTAGAAAAGATGTCATGGCACTTCATTATGAGAAAGCAGCCGTTCTCTAAACTTCTCTAAGCTGCAAAATACTGCCTAAGCAGCAAAGGAATTAGTTGGAGGACAACGTTTGCATGGAGTCAACCTCAGCAGTGGCACACAGCATGCTCAGACAGATCTCAACACAGACAAAATCATACAGGAACAGTCCAGTGAAATTCTGTAAAGCTACCAGCTCTTTCTTCAAAACTTATCCACAGCAGTGGATTTTTTAGAATAAGAAAAAAACCCCAGACATCACAATTCCTCCTCATCTTAAGTGCTTTATTAGATATTTTAGACATGTCTTCTTTTTGTATCAGATTAACTAACTTCTGATAATCTTAATTTAAGCAAACACACTGCTTTGGATAGAAATCAACTGCATTCTTCCCTTTGCTCAAATCACTTTGACACCATCTCTCTTATAGAATCGTAGCATACGTCATTCCGTTGTGTATAGTCATTAAACACTTTTAAAAGTCCTGCTAATTCATTTTTCAGAAGATGACAACTTTGGAATAGTCTTCTATGAAACTTGAGAAACAGCCAAGAGAAATACTGCCAAGATATGTTTAACTAGGTTAAACCTGGATTATTAATACTGTTATTTACATTATAGAGTATGGCTAAAATATCTTTTAAAACGTATCTGATATACATAATAGTAAGCTATGCTTAATTCTGAGTTTGCTAAATATGACAAAGAGATTGAGAATACTGGTGCTAAACTCAAGGCATAACGTTTTATATTTCGAAAAGACTTCTTCTTCCAAAATTATAACTGCATGTTTCACTGTGCCATGCTCTTCATTTGGATACAGATACACTGAGAAACAATCGCACAGCAGTTCTAAGATAATAATGATCTTCTCGGGTAGAAATGGAATTTTCTTGCTTCCTTCATTTGGCTAAATATATCCTAAAAATTCAAGCGTTTCATTTTTCTCCTGTAGTTATCATTCCTGAAAGGCTCTGTTGCATGGTTTCAGATTAATTAATTAATAGCACAAAAGTTATAAAAAAAAAAAAACAAAAAAAAAACCAACAAAACAACCAAAAAAACAACTTACTGTCCTGAAAGGCAAAAGTCTGTGTATCTAAATGAATCAATTAATGAGCACTTATATTAGTCTTCAGCAATCTTGTTTCATACCTGTAAAAACTGAGTCTAGCTGATGTCTCCCAACTCTAGCAGTGCAAGAAAGAGAAGAAGCCATTAAAAGATACATGGGTTATAAAAAAACCCACACTACTACACCTGGGAATGTACTATACTGGTTTTGCACTAGCAGCATCAGCCAGTCTTTTCTGTACACAATGCAAATATACACCATTGCATCCCATCTCCAGGATGCTGTTGTGCTCATTCACCAGAACTGACCTATCATGCATAGGCGTCCTGCTATGGAAAGAAAGGAAATACAGGTAAGACAAGGGAAATGAACATGCTCTATTACCATTGCTTCATACCATAGAACTGCAGTTTGGTGATGCAAAGCCCTCCTCTGGCATTGTTGTCCCAAAGATGAGCCCAAGAAGTGTGTGCACAAATACACACACACAGAACAAGGCCATATTTTCTATTTTTGTCTTTTATTCACAATGACACTTTCTGTAGTAATTTCGAGAGAAGCAACACCATCATTTCACTCTGCACACTCTCTGAGAATAAGGCTTTCTGGATAGGGATTTGAGCAGCTGCTGCTTACCAGAAAATAAAATTCAAACTGCTGGAAGTGGGAGGACAAAGGGGGCAACAAACAACATTTGTTTAAAGTCTGGCAGCAACATCCCAATTAGATGAATTATGGGATGCATCATCAGTACTGCTCCCTGAAGTGCCATAGGATAGGACAGCCCTTCTAGGACGTGTTGATTTAGCACTGCAAAAACGATCCTGAAGAGCACCACCACAGAAGGCAGAACTAAAGACCCATTTGTCTCAAAAATCACACTTCCCACACAGCGCTGTTGCTCGCTTGCCATGTATATAAAGGTTGTAACAGTTAATCACTGAGACAGAGATAAATATTTATTCAGGGACTACCTTAACGTTGAATGTTATTTCCTCCATGACGTAAACTCGTTCAGGAAATGCTTTAGCCACCTCCTCCACACTGTTAAAATACTGCACTGGCTCCTTAATATCTCGGTCTTGTTCCAGCAGCTTAAACTGCCCTGAAAACAGATGATAAACAGAAGAGTTGTAAGATATTTACATTGGACAACTGTCACTGTGGCAACTGCTGGCTCAACTTCTTCACTGTTTTCCTCGGTCAATTTTTCCGGTTATTTAGCAGCCAAAATACAAAATGAAAGACTGCAAAGAGCCTTCTGAACCTGCCATGAAGGACACCCAGTTTCACTAGGGCAGAACAAAAAGAATGTGCAGGAGCTGCAAATTTTAAAAGATCCTTTTATCACATGCTGTCTAGAAACAGTAAATAACTACTGAGACTTCTGTGTTTATGTACTTCATTTACTGTAATAGTATCTGCACAGATAACATGTTTGGCCCCTAATAATAGAAGTGTTACAGACAGAAAACACACCCAGTACTATAAAACCCCAAACAGTAAACACGTATTTTTTTTGAAGTATATATTTCAGCGTCATCAAAAGGCTATGCAAGTATGTGAGGCTACAATCCTTTTCCCCCGGGCTTTCCTAACAGCGGAACAGTGTGGAACAGCATCTAGTGCTTAATTACAAGCTAAGCCCTCTGAGAACTTCAACACTGCAAGAAACAAAACCATACACATATAAAATCCTTTTGAAGGTGGTCAGCCTCAGACAAGCATTAGGAAGAATCATTTGTTGCTTTCTCCCATGTTTTCAGTGTTGTGAGAAGCAAGGGCCAACACCAAGGATTAATTGCTCTTGTGCGTAACAAACACCAAGTTTAGAAGTTTGTTGTATAAATGCAGGCATAATGAAAACTCAGATATGTTGCTGTTTGTGTGACAAATCAGCAGAGCAATCTCCCCAAATTTAGCAACATTAACTACTAACATTAACTACTACCAGGCTAAAGGATGATCTCAGTGGGAGAACAGCATAGCAAGCCTCCTTGTAAGGAGCAACTCAAGAAAACGAGTAGAAATCCAATTAAAATCTGAGATTTGTGCATCTTCTGTAAAACATGTTTTAAAATTAGCAATCCACTCAGCACTCAGGCTTATTGCTCACAGCGCTCAACTTCATGAAAATTTATCCAATACATGTCAGCCACCTACAGAAATATTCCCAGTCCTTCAGCATTTTTGTGCACCACACACAGTTTCTCCTACATACCCCCATCAGACAGTTCAGAGGATTCACCTGTACGGAATAGCTAAAGATGCTGTCATCTCCCACGTGCTGTTTTGCGACTGTTTAATAAATTACTGCACTTCAAAATTCAGTTCTCAGTGTTTTTCTAACTCTGTGTCTGCTTCAGGACACACCATCATTTGAAGTCCAGCCAAGTCAGCTCAAGTATTTCAAAGATCAATGCTACTGTTCCTGTCGCAGGAACAGGCAAACCTTTGGTCTGACCTGGTGATGTTGTCCCTGTAGTGAATCACACTTGCTGTCATAGACTGCAAGAGTGGTTTCACCACATCAGACCAAAGCTCTGCCTCAGAACCTGAGGCTCAAGGACGCCCAGAGCGGAGAAAAGGTTTTAGCTTACTAGCTCTAAATTTCTACCCTATAAATTTGTTTCCTCAAGGTATCTTAAAGTTTTAACGTAAACAGACACCCAACCTGAAAAAATGTTGGCATTCTTCTTCCACAGGCTTTATAGTGCTTTCAACATTAAGAGGAGAAATTTCAGGAGTGACAAAGCTATGCCTGCCAGACACTACAGGTAGCCATAAGAAATCTACAGCAGATGAGCATTTGAAAAGAACACCTTACATACGTAGTAGAAACATATCAGCACTGTGCAGCCCATTTTGATGTAAAGCAATCAAGGAGGAAGCATGCAACTCCATAAAACTTGCTCTGGCTAGAGAAGCTGGAAGTTGTGTTGTTGATAATGGACAGAGAGCGAGAGATGAAGGAAAAACAACTAGGCTTTTTAATCCCCCAGTCGCTACACACAGACAGTGTAGTTCTGGTTGTGAGACTTCCCTGTCAGCCACTTTCTAACTTGGAGAAAGATGCTCTTCCCAGATCTGCAGGTCCTCCTCCCTCCAGACACACAGATTTCCTATGGAGGAATTTCAGGAGTGCACGAACTAAGTGAAGGCAGACCTTTACCTATGTGTGCCAAGACATCATACAGCAGCAGAGATTATGTGCGGCACCAGGGAGTGATAGCCTGATAGCACAGAGAAACAACCACTCTGGAGCACAGAACCAATGACAGTATTCAACAGTATTCCACATATAGTCACTGGAGATCAGATGTTTTTACATTTGACAGAAGTTGTCACAGTGTTCCCCATGCGTTCACTACTGGATGTAGCTCACTCCTGCTTGCTTTGGAGTTGCTCTACAGGGAGCACAGTTGCCCCTCTTCAGCTAATGGCACAGCCACCTGGATGCAACTCTACTTGATTGCCCAATTTGGGATCTGGGGGTTTGATCTGTAAGATTCCCAGCTGCAGTCACTATTTGAGGCAAACTGTGATGAGAATTTATAATAGCATTTTACACTTTAAGTCCCCAGAGGAATAAACAAACAAGATTACTGCAAGTTCTAGAAACCTCAGACAGATGTGCTAAACTTAGTGGGGTTTAACACCCTTTCCTACAGAATGAAGTTGAATACAATACTGCACAGAAGCTACATAACAGTTGAAAACGGTGATACATTGCGGAGATAACATTTTGCTAGTTCAGAAATAAATAGGGAAATCTTGCTCAGGAGTGGGAATTGAATTAAGCACAATGACAGGGTATGAATTCATATGAATAACGGAGAAGAACATCATCTTGAACAATAACATTATCTAAACAAGACTCACCCAGCACTTTGAGTGAGGTCTTTAATTCTAGGTCCTTTAGTTACTCTGTCTGGAAGTGTACTAGCATTATTTTACTATGACTGTGATGTATTTAAAATATGTAGGTCTGGTGGCAACAAAAAGTCAGTCATCCATTACAACTCAAACGTCTACAAAATAGTCCAAAATTCCTCACCACAGAATAAAAGCTTCAGGCTGTCAGCAACCAGAAGGATCTGCTAGCTACTGCAAGCTTGCACAAGTTCTTGTAAAAAAACCAAAAGCATCAGCTGGAGTATTGCTTCGGTACAAAGAGATGCTCAGAACCATCTATGTAGCTGTCTGTGTCATCCTCCCTTCAGCTAAGCTGCACAAACACAAAGCTGTCTGTGCCTTCACTGCTAATGTTCAGCAGTTCATGACGAGGCTGACTACAGAGGAGTACATACAGATCCAAAAGCACATAATAGAAGGGCAGCATTAATCTTCTGTTACGAAATCAAGTATTCTGTGCATGGAAGCTGTCAGGACTGTATGTTAAAATGCTTTTCCTTTGGAATATTCTCTGGATTTTCTATGGACTTTTTTGGAATTTATTTCTTCATTGAGAAAAGCAGACTTTTCTATTGGAAGGAGAGAAAAAGGGCAGAAGAGGGGCCTGCAAGACACTTACAAGCCAGATGTCAAGTAACTAACAGAGAGGAAGCAGACAATTACTTATTATGTTCCTCCCCAGTCTCAATTGCCATAAAAAAAAGAGCATAGCTGAAACACAAGTCAAATGGACATAAGTCTTGACTACAAGCTGAAATGGAATTTATTATCATTCACAATAGACAAGATTCCATCAAGAGACTTTACAAAACTGACAGCAAGCTTCAATACATTACTGTACAATTTAACTGTGCTAATCAGAAATGTGACAAAAAAAATGAAGAAAACCTAAAGCTACGCCTTTATAGAACTATCCCCCTTTCTTGTGCTGCTACAGAAAGAATAATGAAATATTCCTCTAGTAAATCACGTTCAGAAAGATCAGAGATTCGTTATATTTGCATGGTCCACTGAGCAAGTGTGGTTACTCCTTTGCAGCCAAATGCAAGGGAGTAATGAACGACTACTGCAAGCCTTATATCTCTTTATCTCTCAGTCTGGCCTCTGGCAGACAGAGTATTGGAACAATTTCATTCTAGTATATATTATCTACACAGATTATGAAGCCTTATTTCCGTGTGAAAGTACTTACAGCAAAGACTATAAATTCACTACTAAAGGAAATGAATCTGGAAAGATAAAATGCAGGGAAAGAATTAAACCAGGGCTCATCCCCCAGTTTATGGAGGTATTTATTAAAAATGAGTAGGAAGATCAGTCCATTCTGCCTCTTGCAAGAAGCCAAACACTTATGAGCAGGATCTGCCCTAGGTCATTAACCAGACCTTTCTGTTCCAGCCTTTTGGCTGCTTTTGCCACTTCCACTGCTCAGGCTCTTGCAAGTTTATGGATGTACAGAACTGCAATGCATCTCATTAAAGTATTTCTGCAATGTAAGGTCTGCTGGTCTTAGCTGCAATCTCCCCTTCACACCCAAACACCTCAGCTGTTATAAATGTTCTGACTTATCTCCAAAACAAAAAAAAAAAAATCGGACTATTCTGTAAATAACAAGAGAAAAGTAGCTGTATATCATCAGTAGAAAACATGGAAGATCACCAAAACATCTGCTCAATTGCGTTCACTGCTAGACGTTTCCCTAAGGAGGCAGCAGTTGTATTGTCTTTCAGCAGCTTTGATTACTTAGCAAGTCTCACAAGGCAAAGTCTTGTGCTTCTTCAGAATACGCAGACAGCACAGCGGGGCAGCCAAAGTACTGCAGAGGTTTATGTTTCTTATTATTTGTTGACTGCTGACTGCACTTCAGTATTTCAAAGAGTAACAGACTAGAATCAAAGAGAAAAGACTCACTGCTTCCAGATCACCACAACTTAGGAAAAAGACTATTTCTGTCTACGGTTTTCTATGCATCAAGATGATAGGAAACAACTTTGTCTTCCACTCCAAAAGGGTGATCCTTGATATAACTGAGCAGAGTTGAGTAACAGAAACCTAAAGAGTAAATAAGAGACAGTAAAGAGGGCAAACACAGGTAGCTTGCTAGATGCTAGGGAGAATGTCAGTTTATTTCCTCACTTTTCAACTCCATCAACTATGTCATATGCAAGAGTTGTTCTTCCCTTCCTAATT